TAAATGTGAAACGTCCAATGTAAAACAAGCAGATTAATTATTACCATGTATTGTTTCAGTATGTTTTTATTAAATGTTATTAAAATTTCCGATGTGATAGTATTAAAGTTGTAACAGATTGATTTGATGATTTTGTTTATATATTTTATTATGTATTATTATCAATTAGTGTAATCTTATTATAAGTATATTGTAATCAATTTAAACAATTTAATCAGTTCAATTCAGAAGCAAGAAAATGTTTACGTTTTCTAAAGTTTTGCAAGTTGGTGGCAAAACTTTCAAAATTCCCTCCATACCATTTAGTTGAGAACACAACCATAGTATGGCCATAGTTAAAAATGTTTAAGAACCTTTCTTCACATTATGGCAACACATGAATTTGTGACGTGTGACTGCGTGTGTGGAGCAGTAATGTTTGACTTTCAGTTTGTACAGGTGCACAATTTTAATATTGTTTTATGTGCCACATAATTTATTTGTGAATGGTATGTGTGTTTTGATTTTTGTGATAAATTTTGTTTAAATAATTTTTGATATGCTTTATAAATCTTTTGATAAATTTATTGGTTTTGTGACAGTGATTGTTGACATTTGTGATTCGGTTAAGTAAAATTGTTTATTTTTCCAATCTTTCGTTAAGTTTGAAATGATATAAACATTATATAAATGATGAAATAATGACAAATAATTAATTAGTTCATTAATTTGAGAATACTAGAATAAATAAAAATTTTTGAGTCTGATCAATATCTTATACATGCCAAAACCTGAATCAAAAAAAAATTATTTTAAAATGTTATATTATTTCAATTCAATAAGTTCTATCAATATAATTATTGATTTATAAAATACAGAAAAAACATTAGTTTTTATTCATTTATTTCAAACTTGCAACCCTTATGATTAATTTATCATATTAATTTTACTTTATTATTTCAGACCAATCCTGCCTCAAATAACTTTTTCTCCATAAGTATAGAAACGCAATTTGTAAAATGAGGTTATAGCGTTTTGCTTGAAATAAATACAATCATCAATGCCATATACTCAAAAAAGTGATGTGTTCCAAGCGGATATATTAGCAGTATTATAGTTAAATTAAAGTGTATGGCAACATGTTCCGGAGTAAATTCCGGATGCATACATGCCGAGTTATTTTATTGACTTCACTAGTTTGGTTTTTAGTGGATGTAGTGTTACTAACATTTTACTCAGACTGTATAGGATCAGGCTGGAATTGTAGGAGACGAGATGAATATATTGTCGAGGTAAGTCATTTATGGGCACTGAGATTCATATACTATAGTTCTATAAATAGTGTATAAAAAAGTCTACTATTATCTGTAAAAAAATGCAATAAGGTCTATATACTTTTGTTTGATTTATATTTTTCTCGATTTGCATTTTGGATAACCCTGGCATCTTGATGCTGAGCATAAGAAATATAAACAATCAGCTTTGATGATTTATATACATATTATAATTATGTTTTAATTTATGTGTAAAACTCATATGAGTTATGCTCTATTTGATTAAGAACTTGTTTATTATTAAACTTTGCTTTGGCACAAAGGAAACATATTGAATCAAAAAACTCAGTTCCTTATCGATAAGACTTATTAATATTTGTATGCAAATATTTATAAGAGTATGAAAATTTGCAACCAGTTTCCTGTTTTGAATTTTTGTTTGATGTGCTTTACTTCTTCTATTAATTTTTGTGAAAAGTTTCAGGTAAAGTTTTGAATTTCTTAAATATTACTGATGTTTCTTTTGGTTCAATTAGACTCGAGTTGATACAAAATTTTATGTTCTATTTCATTTGCTTCATAATTGAATATGGACGACATTGATGCAGAATAGTTTTTTTTTTATGTTTCGAAATTATATCTAGTCTAGTCATTCATTTGAACATCGCTATTTTTAAAAAAAAAATAGTATTCCATCAAATTTGACCCCCAATGGGTCAACTGCATACATACAATTTATATGGTTTTCATAACCAGGTTTTACAAAAATCTAAAAATTCGACGTAGATATCTCAACAAATTTATAGAAAAAATGTATTGTAATAAAATGTGTTATTAAATAAAACTATTATTTTTAGGTTTACACACTCAAAATCTTCTACATACAAATTATCCACGTCAAATACTCTAATAACCAAGTTATTAGAGCCAAGTCCATTAACTCTTTTTTTATAGAGAACTATTATAAATTTTACCTTCAGCAATATAATCGCAAATCATTTGCTAAATCATGTTTTTTGTTTTTAATTTAACACTAATTTTAATTAATTATTTTAATCTTGGTAAAAATTCTTGGCAAAAAATGTTTATGAAATATTTTTGATGTGATTTCAATAATGAAAACAGAAAACAATTAAGAAATGGAATTTAATTTACATTTGATGATTGTTTATTTATTTAAAAAATTTAAAATAGTTTTAAACTTTTAAACATGCCTTATCCAATAAATATTTATTTATTTTATATATAATGCGCTTTTCACTTACGTTAAAATCAGTAATATAAAATTCGTTCTTAATTTTTCTTTGCGCGTGTTGACTTCATAAGTGTTTTAAATCATGCAAACTGATTATCATAAATTAATATAATTCTCAACAAATTCCACATCTTGTTATAAAGATTTTTATCATTTTCAAATATGATCAAGGAATATATGTATTAATTTTTTTAAAATATATTCAAACAAATGGTGATTAACATAAATAGCAATGCATAACAATTAAGGGTATAGTATGTAATATAATCTATGTAGTCATAATATCTTGATCTTCTTTCATTGCGATCCACTTAATGCATATTCATTTTATGCAATTCACATTCGCCAAGAACACGTAATTTATCCGGTTATAAATTCATAACAAAATTCATAATTGAAGTTCTATTAAATAATTCATGATATAAAACTGTGCTCAGAATTTTTCGTCAGATCATTTGGGTTTTTTTGTATCATTGTTGGAAATATCGAGCCATTCATGGGCTCTATGGAATTTTCAAAATCATAATAAATTCTTAAAAACCAATAAAGCCTCTTTATGGGTACTTGCGGTTTAAAACGATATTACTTTCTAAAATTATATCTAATCGTCGGTTTCTCGTGAGTTACTCATAGTTTTTTATGCAAACTGTTATGAATTGAGAACCGGTTTCCACTTGATCGAAAATCTTGTAGGTCTTGGTCACTTGAAACTATGTGCTAAAATTAGAATATGTTAAAATTTGCATATTAGTTTGATTAGATTTTGCATGGTAATGCAGTTAAACTCACATTTTTAAGTTAATTCCATAGATGAACTATCGAATAACTATTATATATTGATCACTATATGTATTACAATGAAAATTTGTCCCAAACCCTTCTCCGCCAAATTTAGCCAGATATGTTCTGTTATTTCAATACTAGTAAAATCTGGAACGTTATTTGTAGCATGTATAAATATACAACTTTGTCTTTTCAACCGGAAGATTGCAGGTTCAACATACGAAATGTCGGACTACCTGATATCAAGCGGTAGAGACATTTGTTGAAAATGAATATTTAAGTAAAAAATAGCCTTTTTCTGACATCAAGAAGAAATTAATCAGTATCACAGAAATTGTTATTACAAATTTATTAAATAGAGAGCAGCCGTTGGATTTCCTTTTGGAAAAGCCACGTTAAGAAAAAATCATCGAAATTGCTCATAGGATTTAATTTCTGATCGCTACGCAAATAAATTCAAAACTAGTGGGGTGTATGGCATCGTGCCTTAAGGCAAATTGCTGGAACTTCCCGTACCGTAATTAAAAATCTTGGTACGAAACCCAAAAAACTTTACACAAAATGTGTACACATTATTAAAATCTCTATAAAATATATGATAATTTGATGTTCATATATCCAATAAACATTTTTGACCGCCAAAATGACATTTTTTTAAACTTATTTTTATTGAGAATGGATAACCGCTGGACCTGCTTTCCTAAAAACTTTATCAGTTTTTCATCTAATCAATACAAGTAAAATGTTTTTTGAATTATTAAAAATCGGACGCTCCGTTCTCTTAAAAACTGAGTTACCGTTTTTCGCACTTTTTGCTCCGTATCTTCCGAACGGCTAGACCTATTTTCGCCAATTCTAATCAGCACGTCTTCTTATCAATATGAATCGAATGTTTTTTGAATTATTCAAATCGGTTGATCGGTGTTCCCGAAATCGTCGACGATAATTTGTATCCGCACACGCACACACATACACGCCTACATCCATTTTTTTAAGGTATGCGATAATATTCAGAAACCTTTGAAATGTAAAGATATATAAAAATTTTCATTTTTGATTTTTTTTTGTAATTACTATAACTTATCCTACGGGAAATTAACAAAAAAGTACTTTCCATTATATATTTGTCAAGTTGAGACTGTAATCATAAGCAATCAATAGAATTATTTTGAGATATAGTTTGAGATCATCTGCAAATAATAAACGTGGACAGCTAATAATATCAGATATGTCATTAATAAAAATAATAAATGGTAGTGGACCAAGAATGGATCCCTGAGGAACACCTGAATTGCTCAAGAATCCATTAAGATAGACAAACTGCTTACGATTATGAAGATAACCTTTAAAAACATAAATAAGTGAAGAATTAAGACCAATCTTAGATAATTTAGTAAGAAGATTGTTATGATCAATTTTGTCAAAAGCATGACTGAAGTCAGTGTCATCTACATCATCTAACATCAACTTGTCCAATACAGATTAAATTTGTTATCGTAGAACGGGCAGGCATTAATCCATGTTGATCTCTATTTCTGTTAGAAATTAAAGTTCTAACAGAAGGAATAATTTTTTCTCTATATATAATAATACTAATATTGTAATAGCTATTCTTTAATCTTGTATGATCTGAATAAATATATTCGAATACGAGAAATATATTGCATCGATAAGAATAGTTACAATTTTTCTTGCTTAGTTTTCTAATTACAACGGCATTTTTCATATTACTTCTCTAACCTTTGCGGAATCTATATCTTATTACTTATGTGAAGAAACCAAATAATTATTTTACAAATTCAGTTAACGTTCCGTACCGTTGCTTTTCCCGCTACTTATTTCTGATTAACATTTTATACTTCTTACATTAGCGTCGATATTGACACTGACGTATTCAACTGCTTGCGACTGTGTCAAGAGCAAACGGTTTTCTGTATCATTGAATTTAATACGATAATTTAACTCATTTGACTCACAATGGAAGAAACATGGATAAATAAGATAGTTGAGAATTGTAGCAACTTTGTCATGTTTTTCTTGGCTTTCAAATAATGTTTTCGCAATAGAACGAACGAGCTCTAATTTGAATCAATACACGATCCTATTGGATTTTTATTCCATTATGAAATCTATATGGAATGAATTTGAAGAATGACATGGAAATTTTATTAACTTCCTGAAGGGTAAGTTATTGTAATGGACCGAAAATCGAAATTGAAAATTTTTGCATTTCTCGACGTTTTGAAGGTTTCTGAATATTTTGGCATACCTCAGAAAAAATGGATGTGTGTGTGTATGTATGTATGGATACAATTTTTCGTCCACGTTTTCGGGATCAACCGATTTGAAAGGTTCAAAAAACATTCGATTCCAATTGATAGGGAGATGAGCTGATTAGTTTTTGAAAAGGCAGGTCCAGCAGTTACGGAGATAAAGAGCAAAGAGTGCAGAAAATAGAAATCGAGTTTTTGAGAGAACGGAGCATCCGATTTGAATGATCTAAAAATATTCAATTAGTAATGAATGGGAGAACTGGTATTAGTTTTTGGCATAGGCAGGCCCAGTCATTTCGAAGATACGGAGCTAAATGTGTAAAAAATGGCAGTTTTTGAGAGAACTAAGCGTCCGATTTAAATGATTCAAAGAACTTTCTGCTTGTTTTAACAAAATAATTGATTTTAGAAAAAAAAATTTGTTTCAACTTTTTTTTCAAAAAAAAAAATTTTCTATATCGAAAATAATTCAGATACTTTAAACAAATAATTTCAACTTTGCAATTCAGTTTATATAATTCTGATAAATATTAGACAATGTTACATTATTTATTTATATTATAATAATCTCTTTGAAAACATTCAGTATTCCTCGAACATTTCGTTACGGTACGGGAAGTTCCAGCAATTTGCCTTAAGGCACGATGTCACCTTCCTCACTAGCTTTTGGGCTTTATGGGATTTCAATCATAAGTTTCAGGTTTATA